ACATATACAATATATCCTGCCCGCTCCTCAGATACGATATATATTCCCGGGTGATATCTACCCCAAACCCACTCAAGTATGAGATACATATATATATATATCCCGCTCCGCTCAGATATCGATTATATTCCCATATGTTATTTACCTATAACACTACTAAGTATAGGATAAATAAAAAATACGTAGTAACTCACTGCTTGAGAAAATATTATTATAGGTGAACGCCCTGAATCAAATCATATTAATAAAGGTGTGACATTTATTAAATATAAACAATGCACTAATGATGTTCTACCCATATACTTCTCGATCTTATTTAATCACAACATTTCAATGGATAATTAATTAACGTATGGTGTAATCGCTAATCAGATTGTTGAATAACATTTCCCTGGTAGGACAATATTTGATTACTACTCAAAAGTACCATTGTAATTAAAGGAACACGTTCACTATATTCGCATTAAAAAATAAACTTGCGGGATCAATTAATTTTGGTCTAAATCAACAAAAACGAACATTTATAAGGGTGGGTATATTTAAACGAAAACAAAGACAATAGTATAATTCCATAAATTTCTCATGTGATCTCCTTTTAAATATCACACGACCTGATAATCTTTTAACTCCACTTAAGTATCTCTCTTAAATAAATACACCATTCGACTCAATAATTATTTTGCGTTTCTAATTATGCAGTTTTTTAAATCCCCTATTTCCTTGTGCTGCTCAAGATCGACACAAGGATGTGCTAAAACTACGGGGGAATTTGTCTCGAGTGTCCTTTATTGACTCACAACGTCGTTCCAAACAAGCATGGCACACTTGTAGTGTTTAATCTCCAGATTATAGTCACAGTCTTTCATCATAAGTATCATACATTTGCGTTATAAATATGGTGATGTATATGCACCTAAATGTAAACCTCTGGGAAAGCTAATACTCGAAAAATTCTATGATGCTTTTTATATTGTTTGCTTTCTTGTATGAATAAAATACAAGGAAAATGACAACCAAAATAACAGATTAAAATGTAATTTTAAAAAGTTCTTAAAATGTAGTGCTATATCATTTCAGGTAAATTACTCAGATGCAGGAATTGATTATATGTTTTATGTTTTCGTTTATTGACATGGCAACATTATTTAGGAACCCGATAGCTCCTCTTAGAAACACTGTTTAATTGGTACCATTTTGGCAGATTAGATTTTATGCATCTGCCTAATGTGTCTCATCTCTTTTTGTTGTTTTACTTTGATTTACTTTTTTGAAAACGTTGGGTTATCAGGAGAATGATATTTAACACACGGTGTATAGCTCATCCATTAGTCATTTTAAATTATCTGTTGTATTATCAAAATGTTAATCTTAAAATCGATGTGTGTTGAAAAATCAATCACTACCAGATTCTACCATGTTTTTAATTGGAGTTAGCAACAGCTTGTCCCGTTAGCAAAACATTTTGCCGACCGATTCCTTTTTTATTGTTTTACTCTCAATATTCGATCGGTATTAAAGAATTCATCTCTACTTTTAGTACTGTTCTGTAAACACGTGTTGCATTTAAAAGTACTTCTTGTGCGACAGCCACGCGACAGACATGCATTTCCAAATTTACATAGCATAAACTTAAGAAATAAACATCTAGAAACGTCAAGAGGAAAATAAATGTAAGCCTCTGATTTACCTTTACACCTTTAAGTAGTAAAATAGAAACAGAAAGGTAATTAGGAAAACACAATACAGCCACACGCAAAGATAACTAAATATCGTTCTACAAGTGTGAATAAAAATATTTCCAATTGTATTTTATATATTCATTTTAGGTAATTTAGGTTATCACTGGTCTGAACTTTTTAAACTCGGAGTTCTGCTTACATATTGATTTGTAGCGTATAAATTAGAGCAACTACTAATAGTCATTCTTTTGTACGCTTTTCGATGCTACAACCAGATAGATATTTTTCCAGAATTGAACTTTTTACATTAATATGAGACAATAAGCAACCGTCTTGTTCATTAAATTTTAGTCTTTTATAACAATGCTCAGACTTTTAATATAAATTTATTAGATTTTAATATTAATTCATTTTTGTCTAAGTGCTAGTTATTGTAAGCGTGTTCATTTTAATTGATAACATTTATCTACCATTGATTTGAAGAGCTTTTGAATCATCATATTTAATACACTTGTGAAAGAATGCATATATATATTTCCAATTTAAGCAATTATCCTATAGTCTGTGAACTTTAAGAAGTGGCGTTAAGTGTTCATCAAAAACTGACCCCATCTCCTACCATTCAATAGTTTGATTTCGCGTCTTTAGAAAAGAGCTTCATCTGATGACTAAGAGCCTGTGGGCCTCAGAGTTTACACTACCATGTGCCCGTATTAAGTGTGCGTTTCTTGTTGGTCGATCATTAGTACCCTGTCAGGGGCGTAGCCAGCTTTCAGTCAGGGGGCTGCGATCGCCAAAACAGTTCGGGTTTCAGTCCGGGGTGCGATTGTTGCATAAACAAGCCAAAAAAATAAGATTTATTTTATTTTACAAAGATTTATGCAACTTCCTTAAACTTCAGATAAAAGCATTTTTAAAGCTCCTTTCTTCGTATTTTCATGTTTTTAGGTTATTTTGGTTATGGGGGGGGGGTGCGATCGCACTGACTACGCCAATGCCTGTGTAGTATATTTCGGTATGTCGTATCGTATCGTCAATGCGATCGTATCGTCGTGTTTCATTTTGTATACAAAATACTGATATAATGGATGGCATGTGTAGTGTGTCAAATGTGTAGTGAAAAATAAATACGAACATCTTAGTACAATTTGAAAATATATGAAATGTTGAACGGTAAGCGAACAGTATTGCACAATATTCTGCTGAGTGGAAACTAAATGCTGAACACTATACTTTATCATCTACCATTTTCAAGATGGCTTTTATTAATATCAAAATGATTTGAATGAGAAATAATGGATATAACTTTTGTAATTTTTAGTTTATTCAAAATTTTGGGCATATTTTCTATTAATCGTATATGGTAAGTGATTTGGAAATATACGCCTAATGCTATTGTACCAAAGTGAAGTGCAACTTTGTCATTATGAATGTATTTTATTTCCATTTTATATACAAAAAATTGCCCTTTTAAGCATTGTTTTTTTTAAATTTTATATTAAATAATAATTAATTTCTATACTTGTATCTATTATGATCAGGAACGATCGATGGGATGAAGATAGAAGGCACACAATTCAAAGCATAAAGTGTGCCAGCAAAGTGCAGAAAGCTAAGTATAAAATGTTAGGAGTAATTTCTTATACTCCAGTACACACCTCAATGGGCTCTGAACCCTTCAAAAATTAATATCTCAAAAATGGTTTCTATTAAAAACAGTTGAAGATTCAACTGAAATATCCGAAACCCATCTCATTTTCGTGAAACGTAGGCAGAACGTTTTGAAAATCAAATTGACGGAGAAGCCAGTGGACAAAAGTGACATTGCGACGATCTTTCAGATAGTTACTCGAGCCTAATCGTCATTTGATGACCTTACAACTCTTAAATTGTTTTAATCTGTAATGTGTCAAAGGAGGCTCGAAAATACATGTGGCAAATCAAAGATGCTACTTAACTTGTTTATTTACTGATATTGTTGTAATATTATCTAAAAGTTAGACAAAGGGTAAACTTCGAGGAAAAGAATTGACGTTACGAATCTCATTCACTCATTTTATATGTAGAGGTGACATCTATTTAATGCTATGATGGAGAATTCTAATACCAGAATAAGAGGAGGGAAAGCCCCAGAGCTTTAGCGATGACTGACATGTTACGTCTCTCTTGCGTACCACCTTCGTTTGCGCAAATTCTCACCAGTTTGTTTTCGAAAATAACGCGTCGGTGTGATGTTTTAATCGATTTAAGCATATTACTTACATTTTTCTTTATCTTGATGTGAAATAACAAGCTATGATATTGGTCAACACGCCAGAAATTTACATAATTCTATTCGAAACGTTATTAGAAAATTTTGAATCCGCCATTTTTGTTTGTCGATTTTGACCGATCAGAGACGTTGGTCATCTCAATACAGATTTACGGCCAAACTGCCCTAATTCACGTCACCATACTAGTCAATGGGCAAAAGGCAAACGCCTGACTTTTTATGTGGCCTCACTGGCCTATCTGAGGTTCTAAAGCTATGTCTAAGCTACATTTTTACACTAAACTCAATAGGGGCCAAACATCTACTTTTTGAAATAATTGGTCAATTGTGACACTACCCCCTCTCTCTCTGCCGACAGAAATTGAAATTCACAAAAATGAAGGCAATTTTAATACGCCACTTGATTCGAAATTTTCCTTCAGATAACCTAAGTAAACGCATTTTCAGAAGAAATTGCAATAAGATGACAACTGTGCCTACATACTAGCTTACTGGCTCGTCATGATCACAATTGTGTTGGGACTACATTCATTTTTGAAAACTACTTTTTTCTTATTAGGGCATTTGGGCCTACATTATAAGCCTACGTCATCTTTGAACTCTGGGGTTAATCCCACTCTTTACCAGAATGGCCTTCGACAAATAAGTATATACATTTTTGGAAGCATGTTTGGGGTTATCAAAATACTTCACGTCAAACCTCACGTCAAGTAAAACAAAACTGCACGCATATATTTGTAAAGTCATGTCATGTTTATTTAAAGCCATTCATTCACATATTCAATCCATAATTTAATTTAATTCGGTGATTCAGTTTAATTTAAATAATTTATAGAAAGATGGTGCTATATACATGCACAATCAATAAATAAATAATTATGATATTAATATTGACCAGTGTCACCATCTATATATACCTTATATATCACATATACAATTCAAAATCCCCCAATGGGCTACATTGCGTGCAGTCTACTTAAAAACGACAACTACTTGAAGACGAAGCTCTCTTTTAAGTGAAGTTGAATGACTGCAAAGGGTACCAGCAGGCGTTTTCAATGTTGTCATATGTGGTTTTTCATCACCTAAATTCCATTTCTAAGACATTGCAATCTCAGACAAATGTCAACCAGAAATTTCTAAGGTGAAAGACAATGCAGTTTTTGCTTTACAACTAATCGAGTGGTTCCTCCTGGATCTGCCATCCCACCTTTGACCATTGCTTTATGTGTTCAAGCGTCTTCTTTCCATTTACGGAATACATAACACTTTTATTCGCTAGTATATGTCCCTTTCTCCTTCCTCCAAATTTGTATTCCTTTAAACTTCCAAGCTTTTTGCCACACTTCTTGCACTCAATAGCTCCTATAATTCATCAAAACAAAATATTTATTTTTGGAAATTTATGAATTTATTTTGCCTTTTTGGGCACATCCAGACATTCTGCTGCTTCCCATTGATCTCAGACTACAAACGCCCTCTTCCCTCTGGCTTTCTCATTTTACTATAATTCACCTGTAAACATCACAAATCTTATTCAAGCAAATGTTTGCCATAATTTCAGAAATACTATATAGCTTACCTATAAGCGAGTCGTATCTGAAGTTCTGCCGCCACACTGGACTTTCCTTAATTTTATCATTGATGAAACTTGGAGCAATGCAAATATAATCAGTTCCTTTCCTGATGATATCACTTCCCTTACACAGTTCTACTCCACACTCCCCTTTGTGAAACAGCGTAACAGCATCAGGGGTTATATCATACACCCTCGTTCTCTTTTCTCGTTGTTTCAAAAGGTACTCATCCCAATTTTCTTTCTATAAAACAAATTGGAGGCTATACTCATGTGCATAAATCTGCTGATAAATTGATTTCACTTTGATTGATACTTCGTTTTTCTCAGTTAGTATTATAATGCCATCTTTCAACATTTGTTTTAAAAAAATTCACTGGTTCTGCCATCTTGTGTTTCTTTTTTAACTTATCTTTAAAATTCTTTTACGCCTTTGTCCTTTCTAATCATTTAAACGTATTTGACCAACCTGTTTGTTTCTGATTTTCTCCTCTAAAATGTCTCTCTTTTCTCTGTCTAGCTCTTTTAAGGCTTCCTTCATCAGCTCAACCTTTAGTGTATTCTCCCTCTCTCGCGCTTCATTTATGGATCCCTTTGGTACAATTAAGTAGCAAACGCTATCAACGTGCCTAGCTCGTCCTTTTCCTTGCACAGATCCAATTTCATTGGAAACAAAGTTATAGCGAATTACGAAATTGCACCTCGGAACATCAAGGCCTTCTTGCACAACATCAGTGCCAACAAGCACATTTATAGTACCTAAATGAAAAAATCTAAAAACATTAATGTCATTGATAATTGAGTTTTTAACCTTTAATATCATCTCGTCCATAAGAAGGACGAATAAAGACTTGTTAATTTGCTTTGTATTTAAAAACCTGCCGTTTCTAAAGTCTTCCAAGACTTTCAATTGACGTTTATCAGTCTGGGAGTCTTGACTGCTTCCCTGGCCTTGTCCAATAATCCTTCCCACCCGCACATTGGGAATGGCCGACTCATTAATGAACTCTAGTAAAGCTTGTGTTGAATATTTTGTCCGTGTCAGTATGAGACCTGAAATTGCGTCCTACATGTTTAAGATCACAATAAATAATATAACCAATTCAAAGTAAAAGTATATTCAAAGAAACGTATATACGAACCTTTCGCATCTGGATTACCGATAAGCTTGATTAGCAAGTTCGCCAAGTCCGTCCCCATTGGGTTTTCATCTCTTTTATCATCACATAATTCTATCAGCAAGTCCATCTTCTCGTCCAAGCTACGCTGTAGTTCAACCTCCCATGGCTGTTCTGTTTGACCTTTTGGACACAATTCAATTAACTTATTCTTGATTAGACGCAATCCATCTCGTCTACGGAGATTATACGTACACTCAATAGCGTTGGTGTACATCTTTAAAAACGACGCTGCAGCTGCACGTTCCCAGTTCTGTGCACTTTCTGCATTGTTCCTGGTTTCAACAGTCCAAGTTTCATATCCTTGTGAACCCTCTGCATGCTCACATGAAAGCCCATATTTCTCGCAAATATGGTCCATTAAGTCGTGTAGTAACAGAAGAAATGGATCACGAGAGGATCTTGATGGAACAGCTCTTATCTCGTCCGCTTTCAATGGGGGTCTGTGGAGCTTTAATTCTGTCAGGTGCTCCTCTTTAGTGAGATGAGTAACCGTTAGGCAATCCAAATTCGCACACATCTTGATGCAGTGCTCAATTGGGCGTGCACCTTTACCAACTCCAAGTGTTGCAGTCAGGCCTAGAATCTGTGGTAAAGATCCTCGTTGATCGACTTGTCTCGCCTTCTCAACCAAGTAGAAGTTTTGCATCAATTCGTTGTAGGGGTGACCCTTGTCTGTGTGATGACATTCATCCATGATGATCAAGTCCAAATCAGTTATTTCAAGTCTTGTATATTCGAGTGCATTGACCAGCACTTTAGCGGTCATAAAGACAATGTCTCGAGCTTTAATGACATCTAAAACGTCCGCCATATCATCAAGTACTTCAAGAGTGTTCGGTTCGAATGGCATCATATCAAAATTGTCCATTTGCTGTTGTTTCAAATTCCTTGTGGGTACAATGAAAACTGTCTTAAATGCCTTTTCCTTATTCAAAATCATTGCCTCTTTTCGCAGTTCATAACATATATGTGCTGCAGTCAGTGTTTTCCCACTTCCTGTTGGACAACAAATGATTGTGTTTGATTTCTTTAAACTAGGCGAAGCAAGCCACTTTTGATAGTTGTGAAGTTCAACTTCAGCATTGTTGAGGACACGTGATTCTTGCTCAATGTCCATTGGGGTGCTAAGGGGTGGTTCGGATGATTCTGGTTCGTCCATTAACGCACCATCATATACTGCTGGAATTTCAGCATTACTTGATACGATCGAGCTACTTGACTCTCGCACCTGATCATTGTGGTAATCGGATCCAAAGGCTTCAACGTTCGCCAGAGAAGTTGCAGCTGTGATACTTTGGTCCATTGGTCCTTGAAGATACAAGATTTCAGCATTACTCCCAATAGTAGATATACTGAGGTCTTTTACTTGATTCTCATCGAAATAAGATGATTTTGGTTCGTCCATAATATTACCATCATATGCTGCCACAGTAACATTCTCGTTAGTTGACTGTGAATCACTCTCAAGAACAAAGCCAGTTGAAAGGTTCTCACTGGCATATGTGTTATATGTGTTTTCTGTTGCATTTTCCAGCGTAGTATTATGGACACCTTCATCGTGTTCGACAGCCATTGGTGTGGAGACTTGTTGCCTTGTTGCATTGCTAAATTGCGACATTGCTACATTGACATTTGCGACAGAAGCACCAACTCCAATTGGTCCTTGGTTAATGTTTTTCACTAAAATGTGATAGAAACAAACATTATATGCATTGATATCGTGGAGATTCAATACAGAACAATTAAGATACTAGTATTTTAATGTCATAGAATAAGAACAGAAAATAAATCGACTGAAAATAAATAAAAGGCAGTATTATTTCGCCACATATGGATTTGTGTAGTATGGATTACACCTTTCGCCTCAAAGCTTTGTCGTTTGTATAAATCCTATATTTTAAATCTAATCTAAGGCAGTATCCGATCCTAACATGATTACAAACAAATAAAAAAAAGTATCTGGAATATCTAGTTATTTTATAAAATAAAGCCAAAAAGGTCACCCTACATGAGCGTACTATCTTGATAAAGCTGAATACATACGTACACTCTCCTCCATAAGTTTGGCAACCTTAGCTCCCCCATTGGACTACGTGTTAAAGCCTCTTTACCCTTGAATATTTATTGAAAGTTTGTAATGTTGCCAAACTTATGGAGGGGAGTGTATAGTCTACGTTGCATAATGACGTAATTTACCTTTATACTCTTTCACTTTCTCAGCTAGGTCATCTCTGTCAATATCCCGTAACAAACTAATGAATCCTTCCACATTGTTTTCACTCAACTTCCCATGTTTTTGCAGTCGCCTTAACAGTTCGACTCCAGTCGATGGCTCGTCTTCATGCTCATCGGGGAGTAATAAGAATTTAATTTCTTGGATATTTTCAGGACTGAATTCTTTACTCAGCCTTAGCAAAAACTTTTGGAAGATCACTGGTTCTGCCATCTTGTATTTCTTTCAGGACTTTCCTACAAATATCAAGCTGAGCACTGTTTAAATAAATAAAAATAGGAATAGGAATCATCAATGACGAAGAAAGGGGAACTTCAGTAGGAAAAGAAACCCGAACCACAACCAGTTATAATGAGAGGAAACCCTCAATATCCCCTCAGTTTGAAATATGAGACTCAAGATTTTTCAACCATCTTTATCCCCTGAGTTATAAGTCTTAGTTTAGTACCTGTAATTAGGCTACTCCTGTAGTCTACTACTGGACTTAGAGTGTCTAAGGACATGCCATTTATCGATACAACATTACAATGCATCATTGACTTAAGTTTCATTACCGTGAAATGCCTTAATGGTAATCTTGGAAACGTTTGGTTGCATCAGAAGATTTTCGAGGTGATTCCATAATAAAAATCAAGACATTGTACTATTTCGTTTCGTTCGCACCATTTCATTTGGTCATATATAAGACCTATAATGCCAAGGCAGGTTTAAGAGGCAAAATGGCAAAATCATGGAAAGTTGAGTGACAACAATGTGAATTTTATGTGTTGCGGGACATTGACATAGATGACGTGACTGAGAGTGGTGAGACCAAAATGTAAACATCATTTTGAATCATAGACCTATAATGGCAAGGCAGGTCTAAGATTTACCTTTCATCAGGGTTTGGTGCAAGCAAGGGAATGGTGAAGTGATATTGAGTGTTTTTTACTTAAAGATGTGATTTGGTCAAAATTGGATGAGCAATTCAAATGAAAAATAACTTTTGGGCGACCAGAATGCAGTTAAAAAATCTTAAGTCACGTGTGCCTTGTGTTTTTAACCGATCGGATATTATTACTGGTACCATTCCATTTCTTTAATCAATCATAAACCTTTCCAATATTCTGTGCCACTTTTTTATATCAAAATAGCTTGAATAGACTAATGGCTAGATTGATAAGGTCATAGGAAGTAATCTGTCCCGAAACAAAATAGGACTAAACTCTGAAAAAGTACAACCAATTACATCATTAATCTAGCCAATAATTTCTTCTATGATATACCAAAAGGTGGCAGGGTTTATTGAAAAGGTCTGTTGTGTGCTGAAAATGTATCCGCTAGCCTACAACCTTAAGACAGATTCTATTTTACTTGGTTCATCCTGGGTCCATCTCTCAATTTTCAAATGCAAGCTTCAAATCCTTAGAGCTGAATACTCGGAAAGCTTTTAAGTCAGACAGGATAATTCGATATCTAAATGCAAGCTTGGCCCGGGACTCACTGGCGGATCCTCTATTTCGGGGCCTAAATATTGTGTAAACTGTGTAGGGTAGTCGAGACTCTAGCCAATTCTCATTCAGAGGCAATCAGTAGTAGGCCTTTGGGGCATTACTTGGCCTTTTGGGCTTTATTTTTTAATTTTAGGCCAAATTATCAAAAATGGGCATTTAATTTTCAAAATAAATTCCCCCCTCTGTCACAGATATTGGCCAGATCGTTTTGTAGTAGGATCATAGGCTCAAAGAATAATATATACAGTATCTAGTAGGCCTTACCAAAGACAGTCCCTTTCTCACTATGCTGGATATGTCCAATTGTCCATATAACCTGTGAAAACAGTCTAATGAGTCAGTGAATCCTTATCTTTTAGTTTTCTCTGACGTGTCTTCGATTCAATGTTTTGGCCTTATGGTTCCCCGAAGTCGGAAGGTAGTAACGGTGAATCATAATCCGGTTGGAATTCCCAACTTACGGTACCCTATCCTTTGACATGTCTTAGAGTCATAGGTTCTGTTCTACCGGGAGTTATGCACATAAGGCTATAAGGCTGAACGCGTTTACACATGTTAACCCAAGTCTATGCAGTGTAAGAATTAGAAACGTTTTGTGGTCTTATTGACACAGAAGAAATATGCCGTTCGTATATTACATGCATCTCGAAACCTGTCTTGAAGCTGAACTTTGATACCAAACTTCCCAGGTAGATAAAGGCCGTAAACCCTAACCATGACCTGATATTCATTCTTCGGTGAGTATTAAGTAATATTCGTTCTACAAGGGTTACACACGTGCATCTGTCTGTCAAAATCAGAAAGGTAGACAATCGAAATCTTCAGGTGGCTCAAATTTCATTCAGACAGACATGTCTCTGCTTCAGAGTCTGCAAATGATTTGTAGATCTAAACATTCGCGTGTAATAAGTAAGGTAGGCTAATATTTGTATTGCTATGTTGGATAGGCCTGATGACAGACCCAAATCAAGCGATTCAAGAACTGTCGTTTGAGTAGGCTAAGAGACAACCTCGGGCAATCCGCGCCAGGTTCGCTTTTTGGTTGGTATATTATCATTTTACGCATGCGTGAAACCGAACCAGAAATCGAACCTGGCGCAGATTATCTCTGAATGGACTTTAAATCTACACTAAAAATGCGCAACGTTTATACTAGAATGAACGCTCCCATGACCGTAAAAATAACGAATTTTTGGGGGGAATGGGAAATATCGTCAGTTAAACTACGGGCTTTCAAGAGGGAAAGCCCATGGTTAAACCCAAAATCATACATGATTACGTCCCGGGGATTGCGTCTCTTCGTGCTCACCACACCTTCGTTCGTCACAATTTCAAGTTCACCGGCTAGTCAAGTTACAAATGTTCATGTTTAAATTCTCGATCCCTTCTCGGGTGATCTAAATTGCAGTTTAGATACTCTTAATTATGACATTTGGTAACGTACGTAAATCAATAGACTATAAATCAATCTGATAGTTTTGCCGGAATAAGTCACAATGACAGTGTAGTGATTAAAATCCTGGTAGGCCTAAGTGATAAGAGTTTAGGGTTTCTGAAATTATGATGGATGCTACCGAAAAGAACCGGACCCCCATTATTCACATCTCCAACACCGTTGATGAACAGAAGATAGGGGGGTCCAGGGTCCTGAAATAAGACTAAACTAAGCTTATTTGTCAATTTAGGGATGTCAAGTCAAATTCTTTACAAATTCAAAGGGAACTTTTCAACTGATGCATTCCCATATATAATTCCAATTGTAGAGTTGGCGTCAAGTCCTGGAATTCTGAGTAGGCCTAAAATATTATTCAGAGAATAATGCTAATATTTAATGGAGCTTTGGGAACCATTGGTCAATAGATAACTGTTTGGGAGGGATTTTTGGAATGGTATAAACTTCAAAATGCCAATCGCTTCTTCATAAATGAGGAAAAGTGCTTAACTGATATCCACTGTGTAAGTTCCTTTAAAGAATCTAAGGATTGCGATTTCCAATCAGAATTCCATTTCAATATTATTTTATTTCAGTTTAGTTATGATTAGAGGGATTATCCGACTGCAAAGCGTAAAACAACTTGTTGCGTCCCCACAGTGCTTTACAAGCCGACATTATTCATCAAGCCAACAAAACAGCAAAACAGCAATGGAGAGAAAGAAAACATTGTATTATCCACTGTTGCCTAATCTTCCTGAAAAGCTTCATACTTCAAATGGTGTTTACATAATTGATATCCCAACAGACTCCCAATTGGTCGAGGCGTATGATCTGTTCCAGACCACGATTGATAGGGATGATGGCTATGGCGTAGACGACTACCCAAACCTTGAATTTTTTATCAACTACATGAGTCACGACTCGGTTGTGCCGTTTGTCCTATACCAACAGCCAGAGAAAAAGGTGGTTGTTTTTTTCAATACCTGTCCCAGCCGTTTCTGCAGAGGCGTCAATCCTGTTTACTGTGGAGGAAACACAGTGTTTCATGATTCTGTGAAACGACATGGATTATATCATAAGATTATTTCAGAGATTTTCTGGAAGTACGCAGGGCTTCTTGGTTATGAAGGGTTCCTAGGAGAGACGTTTGTAAACAATAAAAAGGTCTTACACACGATTTTAGATCGTCACAATTGGAAGCTGCTCGGAGAACTACCTAAAATATCAAAGCTGAAGCACTCAGGCTGGGTGAACAGCTTTGCTGTTGTAAAATTGTTCAAGGATATTGATGAAAAAGTAAGTGATTTGTGTCCCGCCTGGTCATATTGAAACTGTAATAGAATGCTAACAGTGAATTTTACTGTTCACGACCAGAAGTATTTTCCATTTCAGGAATTTTTCTCATTGAAATTCATGACAAAAATGCAAGAATGCTTTGTCTCTGATTTGATAGTTCATGTCCACGTGTCAGAAAGAGATAAATAATTTTATCCTAGCCTCAACCATTCAAAATAGCCCTAGATTGAAGAGTACATTTTTTGTTCTAGATGAATGCCGAATATAGAGTTTCTAAGGTGATAGTGCCAGATCCAGATATATCTCAGATCACGTTGAACAACCACACCAAGAAAATAGACAACCTACCTCGCCAATGCATCACTCACAACGGAGCTCAACTTATGGTTGACTATGCAACTGAAGAAGACATTGAACCTATTTATGATATGTTTGTTAAAGCACAAAATGAAGGTGATGGTTATGCGATAGATGAATATCCAACGTTCAACCATTTTGTGTACAAGCTTAGAAAGGGCCATTTATTTAGCATGAAGGTGAAGGGACATTTAGTTGGATCGATGGCTGTCATTCCCTGTAGGTTTGTCCGTTCAGCATTTCCTAACATAGGAGCGGGGCCAATGCTCGTGGACAAGCAGTACAGAGGAAAGGGGAATTTCAGTAAGCTGTTACTTCTCCATGCTTTATTTTGCAAGGAGTTGGGCTATGAAGGTTCTATGGGTGACACATTTGCAACAAGTAAGTCAGTGTTGAATGTTGCCGGTGGTCTTAAAAGTGATACAGGCTCAGAGATTCTTGCTAGGATACCACGTACTGGTTATATTGCTAATAAAGGATGGACAGATTCATATATTATGTACAGGGACCTAAGTGACCTCCCCCTGGAATTTATGAATAAACATATTCCTAGTTTATTACCGAATGGTAAGACGTCAAAGCTGTGAATCCCCTGATATGCTGGACAATGAACGAATGATGCCAACAAACTACTTACATAACGGGATCGATTTCCCGTTTTGGGGGCATTGGCAGACCTGCAGACAGAGACAATGTGTGTTAAAGTGTTTTGATAGTTTTTTCTTATGCACATATGAGTCTGGCCATAGGAAAACCAGGACCTGTGTCAATGTTTATATAGACCGTACTAAATATGTAAATAAATATAACTAAATATACTATATTTCCTTAGATATTTTAGTCCGTTTGCTAGAACTGGGTGTCCAGGGCGGACTTTAAATACCAAATTATGGTCTCTAACTAGTCACACCGAACCATATTTTCACTGGTTATAAATGTCCAACTAATCACACCGGACCATATTTTCTGGTTATAAATGTCCACGGATATGTATATAAATGAAATCTCTGCATAAGTAATAGTTCATTGGCATACAAGACCGTTCATGTAATATCGCTATGTCACCCAAAACCAAGGGAATTTATTCTTTCACAAACAAAAAATCAAACGGGCTTGATGAGTCCCGTTGTGCTATATCTCTAGTAATGATTCAAGTCAGTGAATCGAGTGCAATTATGCATGACAATATGCTCACATAATCTAATATAATTTTTTTTAATGTATACACTACTGTACAAATGGGCCTATACTGCCCAGTTTCTATAGTCTCTAGACAAATGCAAGTAGACGACATAATCTCCCGACATATAAAGATATGAAAGCCAGTTTACACATACTTAACTTTGATCAGCTATCTAGTCTCATGACAAAGAAAACCTCACACGAACATTAGCTAAGTTTTTTATTGATTAATTTTAGATTTTACAACTTTAAATAACAAGTATTTAACTATGTTTCAGTCTCTCATAAGCCGAATGCCGGCTGGACTAAATGTTTTGTTTTTAGTAATATGTACTTTGAAATTTTTATTCTTATTAGCGTGAGACGTAAAAAATTATAAAATTAAAACTATATAAGTAGAAAAATAAGGATAAATTGTCTCGGGGACAGAGGCAACCAGAAAATATGGTCACCTTGGACATGTACATCTAGAATATTAAGAATAAGTTGTCTCAGGGACAGAATTAACTAGAAATTATAGTCTCCTGTACGTGCATTTTTTAAATTTTTTATTTATTAGTATAGAACGCTTTTACAGTGCATCCAAAGAGCCTAAAATACATACATACAGTAGCTGGTTAAAATCATTAAAAATACATTTCCTTTAAAAAATAGGAAACACATTTCTCAATTTTTTTATTTGGTCCTGCCCCCATGTGCCTAAGTAAAGTGAATCGCCAATAATCCATTGTAGCTTATCATTAAGGTTCGCTGATAAGTATTCACCTACAAGGGCAACGTCACATGAAGAGATTAAATTGTTAATGAATAGGTTTCTTTAATTATGGAGGACGGGGCAAAGAAACAGGCGATGGGTCATAGAGTCAAAAGAATTGGAGGGACATAATTTACATAAGTCATCACTTTTATTCATCCTTTTAAGGTCTGATTCTAATTTAAAGCAACCCGACCTAGCTAAGAATTTGTGTCTTGCTCCTTGGAAGTTGAATGGATTTTTTAGGTACTCTTAAGCTTCTTGAAAGACATGTCTCTTAACATTGATAAAAAGGGATAGGGATGATCGGTTGCAAATTGATGAAAACAATTCCTTAGTAGTAATTTCATTGGAATATTGAGAAAGCATGAGTACCATTCTTCAGCATTAACATTCAATTTATTATCAAGCCCATGGTGCACTAATATATTTGCTATGTTAGAAACACACTTCCAATTAGATTCTTTATTTATTGAATATGATTCCAAGGGGCAGATAAAACCTTTGATACTAGAGTTTGTAAGTTCTTATTCTTTAGATACCAAAAGTAGTCAATTTGACGTTTTTGAAAAATCTTTTCAATTGGACGCCAGCCCATATCGCAGACAAGGGCTTCATAAGCTGGGGAACACTTAAGGCTAAGAATGGATAAACCAGCTTGGTTTTGATACGACTTAAAATTTTTCTTCATTTCGCAGCTTGTGTTTGGAAGGAGGACTCCTGCTCCATGCAATATTGAAGGAAGGAACATGTTATTATCCGAACGAACGAAGTTCGTTAGGGATATAGTGAAGCCCTCCGTTCGTCCGTCTGTCCGTCAGTCTGTCAGTCCGTCAGTCAGTCAGTCCATCCGTCTGTCTATAATAGATCTTTTCTTTCTCTTCCTGAAAAGGAAAGTCAAGCCGCTAATTCCTAAACTATATATTTCTAGACTAGTACCGGAGCGTTTCCAGTTTACTGTGTTAGCCAGGTCGCAGCGTTTCTTGAACATGAGAATGTCATCATTTTTAAGACTGGATTTTCGGTCATCAAATCACAATACATAATAAACTCAATAACGGCGTTCTTTACTATTATGAATTTTCTTGGGGCCGTTATTGAGTTTAACCTCTGTAATTATGCATCAATAGGGTCTAAGGGGGATACGGGATGGTGTGTATGTATTCATAAGGTATGTATGCATGCTTGAATCACATTCTTTGTGTAATATTACCATGTTTTCAGGGTTTAATTACCGCTTGTCGAAACCTGCGGAACGATTAAATTAACGCATCAAAGGCAAAATGATCATGGAGGTTAGACCTAGCCTAACCTAGTTATGCTAGAAGACATGTCAGATAAGAAACGAGGCCCAGGCTACATGGTGTATAACCCAAACGCTCCTACATGCACGACGGAGCGTTTCGTGTACGCGGAAACGCTCCGGAGCGAAATAAAATGGCGGCTAATGAAGATTCCACTATGACCGTAAGTATTGTTTCTCTCGTTCCTCTTACATATCATATGTTATGGTGAAATATCATGTACCATTCGATGAACAATACCGTGAGCAAAGATCTTATTTATTCAACTTCTGGTAGTAAACTGTTATTTGCTTGATCAAAGCTCCGTAGTGTAGATCGAACGAAACTGAAGATGACGATTTGACCACAAATTACGAATTAAACTTGTATTTGTATGAAAATGTTTATCTTTCTGTTAAAGTAGTAGATCACAAACTCGTATATTCTCATTTCCTAAAATCCCAGTCCAAATCCATTACTTGTTCCCAAGAAATCGCTTGTTTTCCTCGAAACGCTCCGTCGATTTAGGACACAATTTTAGAAACGCTCTTACCATTTTGTTTTGATACCATTTTCAGATTATTAGAGAAGAGTTCCGAATCGAATCTATCTCTCAAAAACGTGTTGTACTTGTTAGGCAAATTGAAACATCTGAACATGGTGGTGCTAAACGTGCAACTAGCTGATTTAAGCCTACATTAGATGATGTCATGCCTACATGTGTGCTAAATCATAAAACTATAGAAAAATCGAAAATATATGTGTGAGTTAATCTTTCTTCTTTTGATGCCAAGGGGTATAATAGATCTTTTCTTTCTCTCTCTGAAAAGGAAAGGCAAGCTATATATTTCCTAAACAGATCTAGACAACCGGAGCGTTTCCAGTTCACTGTGTCAACCAGATCGGAGCGTTTCTTGAATATGAGAATGTCATCATTTTTAAGACTGGATTTTCGGTCATCAAAACACTATTACGATAATGTAATGTGCGTTGAAGCATTGGAATTTGACTAAAATATACGTTGGTGCTCTAATCTTGGCTCAACTAATCACATGTATCGACAAAAGGGGTTTTGACCGGTAGAATGACAAATACGTTTTTGGATTTTGATAACTGCTTCGTACAGCTCTTGCTAATTGCTTCAAACGTCAACAGCCAGCCAAGTACAACATGAATATCACACCCATCGAATGGTATACCCGAAATATGTAACTCATGACATACCTCTTATTCCCATTATTGGGGAAATCGTCAGACGGCTCATCATTCCCCCCAGACAGTTTTCCTACTCCGGAGCGTTTCTTTGTTTAATTTAAGTAATGAAACGCTCCGTCGTGCATGTAGGAGCGTTTGGGTTATACACCGTGGGCTAGGTCTAATGTTGTTGGACTACAGCCAGCCAAATACAACATGAATATCACACTCAAACCTCTTATTCCAATTATTGGGGAAATCGTCAGATGGCTCATCATTCCCGCCCGCCAGTTTTCCTACTCCGGAGCGTTTCTTTGTTTAGTTTCAGTAATGAAACGCTCCGTCATGCATGTAAGAGCGTTTGGGTTGGACACCATGCATGCCTGTCTTGCCGAATCAGTTTTTGTTTCGTTCAGTGTTAAAGTTATTAATGCGCATGCGTTATTCCAACCAATCATTTTGCTACAAATCTGCGCACGCAACTGAACAATTCGCGGCCATTGCACGAGTCTCCTGCAAAAATCTACACCTTGGTTTATTATCCATACAATGGTAAGTTTCTTCGTTTGTACAAGCAATTTATAGCATAGCATAATAACCAATATTACGCTTGTCACTCGGGACAAATTTATTGCATCACGTCGTCCAGAATGACCCTTGAAATTGCACAGATTATACACCAACAACAAAAAATTGTCGTGATTTTCAGTGATCTCTTCCCTACTTACTCGAGTGCCAATGTTTACATGGGATTAGAATAAGATAATGGTCTCTATATTATATACCCGGTATTATATATAACAGTTTCTGGACACACTTAACTCTTAGCTCTTTGGTTGAACAATTTTCGTTTATAGATAATGGAAAGTTATCCCTATAGACTCATAGGGATATGAGTTCATATGGATAATATAACGAAATGATGTGATGTAACCACATAATCTACTTACCAGTATGTTCTATGCTATCCATCGGACTATGTGAATTGTGGAACTCAGCCAAACACGACAATGAAGGCCAGGACTATAACTTAGTCCTGAGAACATCTCAATCTTTTGCCTGTACGATTACAACGTGGGAGAATTTTCTACGCTTCTTACACTTAAGATACCTACTTCATTAGATTCTTTGGTATTTTAGCATTCTTTCCGTGTAGTAGATTCCACAATTGTCTGGGTATATCGGCAAAACGGGAACATTTTTCTTTTCCATCGAGAGAGATTCCATCACTTTTCAAGATGGCGGTTGGATTTAAAAGGGTTTCCCCGTTTAACTGGCCCGGAAGTGACCCGGAAGTACCAATAAATGGAGGAATTTGACGTTTGAAATAAGTTAAATATCACATGCAAATATTGCGATCAAAAACGAAAATTTCTTCGTTCTGCTGATAAACCCAGACAATTGTGGATTGACAACTACACGAATAAATGCTAAAATACCAAGGAATCTATTGAAGTAGGTATCTTAAGTGTGAAAAGGGTAGAAAATTCTCCCACGTTGAAATCGTACAGGCAAAAGATTGAGATGTTCTCAGGACTTAAGTCCTGGCATGGGATAAACATGTCTGATCATGCGTCTAGTTACTAGTTGATATCATGTGATTTGTGATGTGTCACTCAACCATGTCTTCAAAGAAAGATATTAATTTATTAAGAAATGGTTTTCTGACATCTGCTGCTGAATATAAAAGAAAATTTTCCCAAGATAGCAATGTCACATATTGTAGGAAAGGCCCCTGAAGCTACTGACTATTAAAAATCAACTTTATTCATTTTATCCATTTTGAAAAATGGCTGCCACTTTTGCTATATACTAAATGTTTGTAAAAATGCCAGCCATGGCTGTTCGATGGGATTTGCTATGCTTTGGCGTTGCTGTTGTCTAGTTTAAGAATTCTGCAGTCTTACATATGAATAAATCGGGGTCAACCCAGTTGTCCGAAACCCAGTTGTCCGAAACCCAATTCTCCGAAACCCAGTTGTCCGAAACCCAATTCTCCGAAACCCAGTTGTCCGAAAATTAGGCGATCTTATCAAAAAATACAATTTCTTAAAACGAATCTTGTCGCGAGCTCTGCGAATCACGACAGCATAACATTTGAATCACGTTGACATCATTGCAAAATTAGGCTAAATATGCTAAGTCAAGACGTTAATTAGCCCACGAAAGTTCATGGGTAATTTGAGAACTACAAAATACAACCAAATACTTTTCGAACGTACAATAGCAATATTTCTCACCTAACGTCTTCATAGTTTTAGGAACGTATTTTAAACGCATGATAGCCAAATATATCAAGATACTATATCTGCCTAAATGAAGTTATCTAGTGTTGACAAAGTTTTGAAACATATTTTATCCAGATCCATCAGAAATTAACTTATCCAATACATTACTTTACTAGTTCTAGTATCTTGCATGACTCGTTCATAAGAATTCTTTAATTCTACTTCGTTCCCAATACGTCCTCAGACTGACAAGAAATTGAAGTCACACCCGTTTGTTTGCGTGGCATATTTATACGTATACGCACTTTCTCTGATTATTGTCAAACAAAGACATTTCAGGAGAAGAACATAAAAAACAAATGCCTGAAACGAATGCCGAAACATAAATCCCAAGTGATTAAGTTTAGAATGTTTTATTCTTTTACGATTTGATAAGAGACCGAGACTAAGAAATTAAATGCGACGAAATATTTTGACAACGTAATTTGTATACTGTTTTATTCTTAAAGTTCTATGTGATAACTTATTTTATCTGTTTCAAAATGTTTCATTTTATTTTGCCTATATAAAAGAGATTGAAGAAGATAAGATAAACTGTTCCGTAATATATATTGTGTTTTAATAACCTTTTTTAGAATCACAATGTAAAATAAATCTCCCGTTCCTGCCATTCTGGTAACGTCATGCAATGGATGCAATTCAAAGTGAGAGAGGGAGATCTATGAATATCAGAATGCGTCCATGCCATTAATTTGGCCAAATACATGGCATGAAACTGACGTAAGCTTAAGTAAGCTACGCCCCCCCCCCCCCCTTTCTCTGGTAAATTATGACTTTATTTTTCGGAGTAATGGGTTTCGGACAACTGGGTTTCGGGGAATTGGGTTTCGGGGAATTGGGTTTCGGACAACTGGGTTTCGGACAACTGGGTTTCGGAGAACTGGGGTGTACCCGAATAAATCACTTATTTTGCTGCTCAAAAGGAACATTTAGAAAAAACCTCAATGCATACTGGTAAATACAGGTTCACGCTTATTTTTTCTAATATCTGTATACAAGTCCACAAGAATCACATATATATTTTTTGAGACAGAGACAAATCCTGACTATGCTCGCGCATTACAAGTCACATAAAGGTCAGTCAAACCAAGGTCGAACGTAATACCCGGAACCGTTCGCATTTGGCGTTCAGTTTTTTACCACATCCGATTTAAATTAGCCAATTTAAACTTAGGGGTGTGAGAACTTTAGATTTATTCGGATAGTGTTTGTTACCCCCCCTTTGGAAATGGAAATGTCTAATTGCAATGTAAAACTCTACATTGAACCACATTCAAATTTGAACTAACTGATGTACTCATATGAACAGAAATGAAACATAAGGCTAATCTGTTCTGTCACTGAAGCAATATTAATGGCTGGTGGGTAGATTTTAGAGATTTTATGTGTTTCATTCGTTTGCTTGAAGACCACAAAATGTTTAATTCCAAAGATATGTGTTCTCTGAGAATTTGAATGTTAAGAGCAGAAGAGGTTTAACATTTATATAGCTTTGAATGGCCTTACAGAAGCATTTACTTCATGGCTCCAACAAACAACACGCCAGTCTTAATTTGACAAATTGTTACTGGAGTAGCTTCAGCTGCAGGCTATTGCCTATTTACATATACGTATCTTGTTCCACTTTTCCTAATTATAAACACATTTTCCCATTATTTAATGATTCCAACCCTGAACCTTCAGTATTGTTCTATTTGCAATCATAAGTCTTGAATCAAGTCTCAAACCCACTCCCACATCACCTCCAACTTTTTGAGATAGAATTTGGGAAAGTACATGTAGAACAGGTGCTTGATATGTTGAATACTGAATGGTTATTAAGAAAAACATTTGAAGAACCCATACTTAAATACATTTTACAGAATTATATATATCAGATTCAATGGCATACTATTATAAATACATTGTACATTAGCATGCAATATACACTACAATGGCATCACTAAATTTCTTAACCATAATATAATGCCTTTTTATTTTTATTTCAGCAATACAATAAGGAACAAAATTAAGAAGATTGCTAATGTTGGGAAGAATGCCGAAGAAGCCAACTGAAGCGTGGAAGTAGGTGGCTTTTCAATGTTTTGAATAAGATCAGTAAGCAATAAACAAGTCTAATGTATAAGTCAAGGTTTGTTGATTTCGTGTCTTCATGCGTATACAGGGTGGTCCAAACAAAGTGAACTCTTGCATCAAGCTATACAGGGTGTCAAATAAGTGCCGTCCCCCTCTCAACAGCCAAAACCAAGATATATGGAACCAAGTGTGATATATCATTTGAAAGGTCTTCCAAAGTTACGTTGATTAGTGTTTATCTGACACATGTCAATCAACATAACAAATTTTTACATTGTATCAATTGAGGTGACCATAGGCCTAGAAACATGGCAATTTGGCGTATTTGGCAGGATTTTAAGAATCACGTATAAGAAAAGTCAAAGGACCTAAAAATGATAACACATGTATATGGGAATGAATTAAACCAATATATGGATAGTGTTAGATGTGCAGAAAATAAGAGTTGTAAGGAAAGTGTTGGAAACCTTTTTGTAACAAGTGGAATGCGAAAAAGAAAAAAGATTAACTTTTTTATGATTTCTGAGGTCATATCCTTCTAATTTTGACTCAATAAAAGTTGCTTTAAAGGAGGGTGCACGTAATCATGAAGGACATCATGAAAATATAGGAGAATTTCATCTAAAATACTTGAGAGTTGGTGAGTTGACATAAATTTGGATGATCTTTCCAGTGGTATATCACACTAGGTACCATATATTAAGGGTTTAGCTGTAGCAGGGAGGACTTATTTGACACCCTGTATCTCAGTTATTACTTGCTTTCATGGGCTGATATTCTCACATGTTTTAGAGGGAGGCCTAAAATATATCCAAGGGGATTCCATGTGGATCGTATTGGGGGTGTAGAAATTTTTTTTTCGTTAAAATGAAGAAAAATGCTTTAGAATTACAAAACACCCTTTCATATGTTGGAACGAGCAGTAGACAACTTCATCATTCGCATTGGAGCAGTTATCCAGAACCGTGGAACATTGATTGAGCGCATCTTCCATAATCAGACATGTCTGTTGATGCCATGTAACTTCTGCAAGACTAGAATTAGTGACCTTTATGGTATAGTACCCACAAAAAGTTTAGACTTTCCTCTAAATCATGTGAGAATATAAGCCCAGAGCCCATTAATGCAAGTAATAGCCGAGATATAGCTTGTTGCAAGGGTTCACTTTTTTAGACCACCCTGTATTCAGCTACATAGTTGGAGATGTAAGCTTAGAAAGGCATTAAAATTCCAGATTAGGGTCTGAAGTTAATGAGGCTGTTATTTTTAAATGATAATGTGTAATTATATTGAAACCATGACACATTACTCCATATAGTAAAATAGTGTAGCTTGCTTTCAATCAAAGTATAGTATTATATAATCCAAAAATCGAGTTTTGTAAAATAATTGGTGATTACCAGAATTATCTGAGGTGAGTTATGAATAAAGATTGTGAGCGAAGGGTTAGACAATCTTTATTCACATCATCAATCGAATTTTTATGGGATTTATGGTTATTTTTAATGTCACCACCAAAGAGTGGTGAAATATTGTTATGGTCTCCGTTTTTTTTGACGGCGGTTGGTGGTTGTAACAAATTCTTACAACTTCCAATAACTTAACAAATGCTGTTTAGACGGACTTCAATTTTTTTCAAAATCATCTACAAGTTTTCAGAAGTTCAAATCTGACTTTATATTTCGACCACCAATGACCTTTCCAAAGTCATAAAAAAGGTTAAAAAGGTCACAAAGGTCTTTTTTCAACTCGCTTCAAATTGGCCAACTATTTTTTTCAAAATCATCTACAAGTTCTCAGAAGTTCAAACCTGACTTTAGATTTGAGATTTCACCTTTGATGACCATCTTAGGGTAAAAAAGGTCTTTTTTCAACTTGCTTCAAATTGACCAATTTACCTTTTCAAAATCATCTACAAGTTGTCAGAAATTCAAATCTGACTTAAGATTGAACTACACTGTAATAACATTGTGAGCAACTAGGTGGTGACATTTTGTCATGTTAATGCCTTGTTATTCATTTGTCACCATAACATCCCTCACCAACATTATCCCATTTTATTTAAGAATACATTCATGATTTTTTTTCTTTTCAGTGAAGAAGACTTGCTAAAAGAAACAATAGTAAGTATATTACATAATGTTGAAAATCGCTATAGCATTTCAATATACAGATCACAAATATGAAGACCATAAACAAATGACTATTTACTTTATCAAACATTAGTCATGAACAAACACAGTTAGTGGCTGTACACAGATAATCTTGTGATGAATTACTCCACCTGGGGTATCAAAGTTAAACATTGATAACTTGATATATTTTTAAAAAACATAGACAACAAATCTTATTGATGTTAGTTAATGTATAACCTAAAAGTTTATCTCTACTATTCGGTCTCAAGCCATTCTTTCTGTTTCTAAGATTACAAAATTAAAAAGTGTTTCCTCCCATATTCTTTTTATGTTACCTCTTTGTGGTGGCATATTGTTATAGTCTTCAACTTTTTGTGAATGATGTTCGGTGGTCAGCATGTGTAACTAATGTCAGGTGGTGACATTTTGAATGTTATGACCTGTTTCAAAATGTAGTTTAGTCAACTTTTCATCTCTCTTTATAATATTACCCTTTCATCTCATTTTTTTTTATAATCTTAGATGTCATCTAATTGCACCATAACACCTCGTTCAGCACTTTAATTGGGGTAATTATCCATAATCACATGTGACATAGAAAAATATTGGGAAAGGTAATTTTTAAAACTCCTGATCTGGTATTCACACCCCATTCTCAACACTAGTATCACTACGTCTTAACATTTTTTCTGAACACGATCTTGAACTTCTCAAATCTTCTAGAAAGCACAATAATTTGTTGAAAAAATCGTCATTTTTCGCAAAATCCACCATATCCCTGACATGTTGAGTCGTATCCTTATGTTATAGTGACTTAATAATAAATAAAATCATTATTCATCATCCAGACACTTTCCAAAATAAATGGAAGAATTTGGAGAAATTAATTCCAGTTGAGAAGTGAACGATGCGAAGGGTATGTACCAAGTACACCATAATATTTTTCTAGAGTTCTAGATCGTATTCCATCAAAACGTTGAAATAAATAAATAAGTATGTCGTCCAGAAATGTTTGTATGACTTGTTGAGAATGGGGTGTGGTATTGTTATCCCAATGAACGAAGTTTGGTGGAGATATAGTGAAGCCCTCTGTCCGCCCATCAGTCCGTCCATCAGTCAGTCCGTCCGTCCATCCGTCTGTGCCCCTGGAAGATAACTTGAATACTAGTTGACAGATTTTCTTCATATTTGGTGGAAAGATGTATATTGGTGAAAAGTTCTGCGCAAGAAAACTTTTTTCAAGATGGCCACCGCTTTAAAAATGGCTTTAAAATTCTTATAAATAAACATTATTATTTGAAATTTTGGTCGTATAATCACAACACCTATCTTTTCCACATGTGTTCTGTGCTCTTCACCCTGACCCCCAGGAGCCGTGAATTGGGAAAACAGGAATTTGCGTTAATTTTGAGATGTTTTTGAAATATAGCTTTATTATACTCAAATGAAAGGCAATTTAGAGTAGATTGCAAATATTGTATTGTTTTTCTGATTTGGGCCTCGTAAAATTCAAAATGGCTGCCTTATGTGTGATTTCGCAATTATCATCTGATCTCTTAAAAGTTGAAGGAATTTTAGAGTAGATCACAAATCAGATAATTCAAAATGACTGCCTAGAGCAGGAATGCGCCAATACTTCAAGATATCTTTAAAGTATGGTTACATGATACTACAATGATCTCAAATATTGTGACTGCACAGATTCATGATTTATGATTTATATAGTGTTCGTTTGGATTTGCTACGCTGTGGAGGTGCCGTTTTCTAGTTTGATAGTGATATGAGGACTTTGGAGAGCTTTCATCTCATATATTTCATCTAATAAGGGATAATAAAACTTGTAGATATTATATCACCTGTGTCTTTGTTGATATCTAAATTGCAATGACTATTAATACAATGCCTCTTATGTAATGTATTGACATTATGGGCAATAATTACATTGTAGCCATCACACTTAATGGCAGTTGTAACTCCCCATATGGTGAGCATATCAAAGAATATATCTCTTAATACCATAGCATGATTGTGTCTTTGAAACAGAAAGATGGTGTGAGTAGCTGAATAAACTCTATTATATCACAAACACTGTATATACAATCTACAGTCCAAGCTCCAGGAAATTCTAAAATTCTACTACAGTATATCTAGCTGTACTTACTTAATGACTTATATCCCTCTCTCATTTGACTTCAACTTAAACATGATTTTGTGATTTCAGCATGATGATTTTATGATTTCAGCATGATGATTTTGATGATGAGATAGATGAGAATGCATTGCTAGGAGACAGTGACAATGAATCTGAGGTCAGACCAAGCAGAAACAAATTCCAAGGAGAGAGGTGGGTCAACTTATGTAACATGTGTTTAACTTGCTAATAAAAGACTCCATGAAAACCATGGGAAACCATTTATTATTTTATTATTTTAATATGACAAGAAATGTCAACTGCAACTAGATGGTCTTGAAACACACATTTAAATCACATTTAAATTGTGATCCTGTAAAGAAAATGTTTAAAATGCAGGCCTCCTAAAATCTTATCGAAAACGAGACTTCAACAAGATTTCAAAGCGATATAGCAAAGCCTCTTTTGAATGTGAATGTGTTTTGTAAATGAGTTGCCATAAGCAATGCTTTGTGAATATGGTCTTTGTCCTTGATTGATGTGGACCTTTGCTTTAAATATTGTGTTACTATGAAAATGCGCATTTCAGGTTTGAAAGAAGTTTTGAAGAAGAAGATGTGATAGACCTTGGGGAAGAAGGTTGTGAAGGGGACTTTGATGAGCAGGACTATGGAACAGAGGAGCCTGAAGGTGGCAACCAGCAGCACCAAAGTGAGTCACATGTTGAGAGAGGAGGAGAGACATACACAGTCATTGATGAGATAGACACAGAGGAGAATATTGAAGATGAACAGGTGAATACTGATACTAATGTAATTTTACAATGATCAGCTAGGCCATCAGCTTCACCCCAAAATTTAGGTTATCGGTATCAAATCAGGGGAATAATCGCCATAGTGATTTTTGGGAAGGTTAAGACCTCTAGAGTAAGAAACTATGTGATAGCATTGCCACAGTTGTAGCTAAATGGGTGTTATCACCCATTTTTCAAAATGGCCGCCGGTGCACGTGTTACAATATAAGAGTGGGTATATCTAAGCACACTGAGATGCAGAAACTGTGATTTTAGGGCCTATTTTGAGGTTTTAGGGGTCAAGGATTTCATTTATGCCAAAATCTAAGTCATCAAGCAATTACTTCTTATAGAAATCCAAGATGGCCACCAAAATGGGTGCCAAAACGAATACCGGTATGTAACCATTGATTTAAGCTCAAAGAACAGTTAAGAACAGTGATTTTGGAGATCATGTCACAGTTCTCGAGTCAAGGATCTCATTTATGTCTATATCAGAGTCATCAAATAATAAGCTTTTCATAGAAATACAAGATGGCCACCAAATTGGATGCCAAAACGATTGCCAGTATGTAACCATTGATTTAAGCTCGAAGGAGAGTTAAGAACAGTGATTTTGGAGATCATGCCACAGTTCTAGAGTCAAGGATTTCATTTATGTCTAAATTGGAGTCATCAAATCATTACCTTTTCATAGAAATATAAGATGGCCGCCAAAATGGGTGCCAAGATGAATATGTAACTATTGATTTAAGCTCAAAGAACAGTGATTTTGGAGATCATGTCTTGGTTTTAAGGGTCAAAGATTCCATTTATGTCTAAATCTAAGTCATCAAACAATTACTTTTATAGAAATCCAAGATGGCCACCAAAATGGATGCCAAAATGAATATGTAACTATTGATTGAAGCTAAAAGAACAGTTAAGAACAGAAATTTTGGAGACTCTGTCTATTTTGTAGGGGCCAAGGATTTTATTTATGTCTAAATCTAAGTAATCAAATAATAATTACTTTTTATAGAAATCCAAGATGGCCACCAAAATGGGTGCTGAAATGAATATGTAACTATTGATTTAAGCTCAAAGAACAGTTAAGGACAGTGATTTTGGAGACTATGTCCAGGTTTAAGAGGCCAAGAATAACTATTTTGTCTATAATTAAGTCATAAAACAATTCCTTTATTTTGATATCCAAGATGACCGACCACCAAAATGGCTCCAGAGTCACGATTTTGAGGACTGACTAAAATGTTTATCTTCATCAAACTCTTTCTGGTTTATCATACACTTGTCTTTGAGGAATTTCTTGTGCTTGATCTTCTCCATCCAATAATCTACTTCTTCCCATGGGCAGTCTACTTCTTTCTATAGTCAATGTTTATGATACTGAGCCACCACAAAACTAAGGGAAAGGAAGGCAAATTACAGTAATATTGCTAATGCGATGATCATAAGATTTTATTTCGCAAATCTTCATGTAATTGTTTGTTCTTATTTGACCTTTTATAATATTAACACTTTGGCATCCATCTTGAATTCTGATATTAATCATAGATTGTTTGGTGATCTTTGTGGTTAAATGGATAGTTATATGAATTCATTTTGGAGGCCATCTTGGATATCCATATAAATAAAATATTTGTTGATTTTATTAAAGACAAAATTAAAATCATTGACCCCACAAACTTAAAATATCAAAAATTAATTTTCTAACTCCTCTATATGTTTGGATAATAAATCTTATTTTCACTTCGGCAGCAATGATGGAAGCCATCTTGGATCCAAATAAAGAAATTAGTTATAGTTTTAGACATAACTGAAATTCTTGACACCAAAAATCTTGACATGGTCTCAAATTACTGTTATAAACTGTTCTTTGAGCTTAAATCAATATTTACTTGTTATTGGCACCGTTTTTGGTGACCATCTTGGATTTCTATGAAAAGCAATTATTCGATGACTCAGATTTAGACATAAATGAAACCCTTGACCCCTAAAACCTAGACATTGTCTCCAAAATCACTGTTCTTAACTGTTCTTTGAGCTTCAATCAATAGTTAAATATTCATTTTGGCACCCATTTTGATGGCCATCTTGGATTTCTATATAAAGTAATTGTTTGATGACTTAGATTTAGACTAAATGAAATCCTTGATCCTTTAAACCAATACATTGTCGCCAAAATAACTGTTCTCAACTGTTCTCTGAGCTTAAATCAATCAGTTACATATTCATTTTGGTGGCCATCTTGGATTTCTGTGTAAAGTAATTGTTTGATGACTCAGATTTAGACATAAATGAAATCCTTGACCCCTAAAACGCAGACATGTACTCCAAAATCACTGTTCTTAACTATTCTTTGAGCTTAAATCAATAGTTGAATATTCATTTTGGCACCCATTTTGGAAGCCATCTTGGAATTTTTATTTAAAGTAATTGTTTGATGAGTTAGATTTAGACATAAGTCAAATCCTTGTCCCTTAAAACCTAGATATGGTCTCCAAAATCACTGTTTTTAACTGTTCTTTGAGCTCAAATCAATAGTTACATATTCGATTTGGCATCCATTTTGGTGGCCATCTTGGATTTCCATGAAAAGTAATTATTTGATGACTCAGATTTAGATATAAATCAAATCCTTGACCCCTAAAACGTAGACATGGGCTCCAAAATCACTGTTCTTAAGTGATTCTTGAGCATTAACAGTAGTTACATATCCGTTTTTGCACCCATTTTGGTGGCCATCTTGGATTTCTATGAGGAACAATTGTTTGATGACTTAGATTTAGACATAAATGAAATCCTTGACCCCTAAAACCTAGACATAGGTCCTAAAATCACAGTTTTTGCATCTCAGTGTGCTTAGATATACCCACTCTTGTATTGTGACACGTACATTGGCGGCCATTTTGAAAAATGGGCGATAACACCCATTTAGCTACAACTGTTACAATGCTATCACATATTTTCTTTCTCTAGAGGTCTTAACCTTCCCAAAAATCACTATGGCGATTATTCCCCTAATTTGATACCGACCAACCCCCCAGGCTGATGGCCTAAGCCCCTTCTTGAGATTTTTAGACTTTCAACCACTAGGAAACCCATTTGAAAAAGTTTTGAGAAAGATCAGAGATTTCATTGGAACTTTTAATAGCAGGCAAAAGGAAAATACAACAAGCAAAATCAGTAAAAATATTTGACATGGAAATAACCTGCTGAAAGGTCCTCAAAACAATAGGACGTTTGAGTAAAAATATCAGCTGTCGAAATCACTTAAGTAAAAAATTGTCTTATTTTGAACAACTTTGACCATAATTGTCAAAATGAGAATTTGGCACATACCCACTTAAAAAAGATATTTGGTAGAACACTACTCTACTTATATCATATGATGAAAATGAAATCCAGCGCTATCATTTGTCATCTGCTAGACCCAATATATTATTCTTTAATAACACTAATTATGTCATAAACAAGTGTAAATTATGAACTACCATCCGTTTTCTTCAAACCAAACTAGATACATATTTTAATTTTAATTTCTAGAATGGAAATGATTCTAATATTGACACATCACAGACCAACACCTCTCAAGCAGACAACAGCCAGGCAGATACAACTGTTGAGGATGAAGAACACCAATACTTTAAGGATGCTGACTCTGATAGTGGGAGCGATGACGAGGATGACAATGCTGGGTCACGTAATAGAGACCGGTTCAAAACTGAACGTCATGATGTTGTCACTACTAAGGCAACAACTGATCGTAGTATCCCTGACTCCCTGGGTAAACATATATTCTTTTCTTAGTGACTTGTACACAGGATAAGTTTAATATGTGTACTAAATTAGACTTAATGTAAAATGACTAGGTCAAAATAGGCCAGTATATTCTCCATCCTATAACATACTCAGACGCAAGATGAATTTTAATAGTCTATAAATGATCATTTAAGAAAAACTCTTCGTAGTTGGGATACTTAACCACCCATACTCAATTGATACAAGAAATATTGTAATAAATTGAGGTATTATACATGTATAGGTAGTTATTGCACTATATCTAGTGTTAACTGTCGGAAACATGTGCTCCCAAGACCCAAGATAAAAACTAGAATAGTGCGAAAATGTAATTGCTACAATTCTGTTTCAGACTACAAGAGTATAGTGAGTAAAGAAGAGCAGGAACGTGTAGAAAAATATGAACATGACTCTAAGAATAAACGGAATAGGCGAGGTAGAGGACGTGGATTTGGAGGCTCTAGGGGAGGAGGGCATGGCCCGAATCAACGGTTCCCAATCCCTAGAGGTGGTCAGCACCAGGGCACATTTGGGGGGCAATGGAGGGGGGCACGACCTCCACTGTATCCGCAGCAGCAGCAGCATCATCAACAACAACAACAACAACAACAACACCGTCATCAGCATCAACAGCTTCAGCAACAACAACACATGCAGAGACCACAGATGCAAATGAACCAGGGTATGAACAACCAGAACATTCATGACCAGGATATGTTAAATCGTGGTTTGCAGAAAAGAGACATGCATCACAATGGTCCTCCTTTCCATCATAATAGAGATCCCCATCATGATAGAGAGCCCCATATAACAGAGCAGAGACATAGAGAACAATCTTTGGGTCATAGGGAACCCCAATACAGAGATAGAGGACCACTTATAGAACATAGGGTACCTCCTATAGGACATAGGGTACCTCCCATAGGACATAAGGTTCCCAGAGCACACCCAATGGATGAATTAACTCATGCCACAAATCATCCCCATCCTCTAGACATATTAACAGATCCAAAACTAAAAGCCCCACCAGAACCAGCTGCCAAAATATATATTAACCCTAATTTTAAGGGTTCTGTACCAGTAAGTATAAAGTCAAATGCTCAAATTGGGTAAATACACGAAGGACCAAATCACTAACTTAATTGTTTCGGTAATGTAAAACTTCGGTCTGAACTAATCTGCATATAAGCTTTTCTATGTAGGCACATTACCAATAGAATTTTGTGTCACTGGTATGTAATAAACAGGCACAAGCATTTTGGCATTGTTTTGATACCTTAACATGACTGGAATTCATTAGTTCTAAAATGACATCAGAACCAGTCAACCTGTAGAATTTAACACCGTAGTGTTATTTTGAGGTTTAAATCAGTGTATTTGAAATAATGGACTGCTAGCTTTTTTTTTATTTAATTTTTTTTAATTTTTTTTAAATTTTATTTTCTTTTATTTTCATTTCAGGTGCAGTCAGATGTAGTATTAAACCCTTTAGTTCAAGTGAGTGGATATTTTCATGAATTGTGAAATAGAAATACAGACTTTCACTGGCATTATGTTATATTTCAATTGATTTCATTATTAATTAACTTATTAGTTTCACTGTCAACTTTGCTACTTTATTATTGTTCAGACCAGCTTACATGTTAACATAGAGGATAAGGTATAACCAGTCATACACATCAAACATGAGTAATCTCAGTCTTAGTGAGCATTGATTCCCTTGTGACCCATGACTCTAGCATATATGATATGGGTCCATGTATAATATGATACAGTACTACATTTGATTTCTTTAGGAATCCAACCTGAGAAGTATTCAAGAGCCTTCATCACAGAGCTTCCCTCAGTCCATGCAAGGCAAGACTATGTTCATGAATGATCAGTCATTACATGGTCCTGGCATACTGGGTGAGTATTCCATGCACTGGACATTACAGTGATCTCCCCAGCATTAAAGCAAGTGGGCGCAGCACCTATCTGGGATTTTGAAAATAGACTTGCATCCACCTGAAAATCCATTTGCATTCACTTGAAACTGAGAAAAATCATGAAAAATTGGGCATAATTTGACCAATTTTGGTCTGAATTGTGAAAATGAGAATTATCCACCCCCTTGAGAAAAAATCCTGTGTAGATCAGTGCAATAATATCATTAAAGTGTTCACACACTGCAGATTAAAGATTCTTGAAGTTTGTATTTAGCTATTGGTGTTAAAAGTTGTTTAAAATTTGTGAATCGGGCTTCTAGTAACATACTCTGGTTAAAAATCCCTAGTGGTGCAACTTGTATCAGAGATATGATATCGCACCTCAATATTACATCATGATATACTCTATGCAATACAATATCATGATATTAACATATTTGCTCCAGGTAACCCACCTCAAATCACTTCACAAGTTCACAATGGAGTCACACTGAATGGTCCAAGACCTCATCTGATGGGTCGCCCACGTCCAGATATGGATTTAAGACAAATGCAACCCCAAGCAAGACACCCTGCACCCCAACATAGACCCCTGTTTTCTGATCAGGACTATAGAGGCGGAAATTTTCAAGATCCAGATTATCGCCATCGGCCAAATCGTTTGGAATATGTGAATATTGATAATGTAATGGAGGCAGCTAATATGTTTACAAGATTAGTGGATAGTTTTAACCAGCCAAGGGGGCAGTTAGTACAAATGAATCAAGGTCCACGAGGAGCTGGAAATTTCCCAGGCCCAAGATTTCAAGGTCATCCTCAAGGGAAAAACAATAACGAGGTAAGAATTTTAACACTGTATCTATCTAAATGTAACCTTTCTTCACAAAATTAATCAGGATGCAAATTAATAATGCATTTATTATCCAGGCTCCTCCCACATTGAATGGTCCAAGGCCTCGGATGCCCCAGCAGGACAGACCTAGACCACTGATACCTGAAAATCCCCATGGGAGCCCCCCACATAAAAGTCCAAGAGATAGGCTGGGGCCCCAGCAACAGCAACAAGAACATCAGAAGAGGAAACAAAATGAGAGGTACAGCATAAATACTGTGGGTTCACAATATTTTGACCCGTACTCATGAATCTAGTGCCCACCATGTAACAATGTTCATCAGTTATATTCAAAGAACATTAAAACTGAAAAAATATTTTTCTAGAAAATTAGTTGCAAATTAGTATTTTCAGTAATCAGGATGCCTCATGGATGCACTTAATTTGGCAGATATGCTCACTGAATTTTGTGTATTCTTATGAAATGCTACTATTTAAAAATAAGCCTATTTACACAAAATTAATAAATGTTTGTCTATTTTGCAGACCAACCCCCCAAAAAGTCAGCCCTAAGAAACCTCTTACTGAAGATGAGAAGAAAAAGATGGAGCGACTTGAAAGATTCAAAGTAAGCATACAATTTCTTGTTTCTAGAAATCTTAATAGAACCCCCTATTGTGTACTATATATTAAACTCAAGATGAGACTTTATGCAATAGTGAAATTAGATAAATTATAGCAGGGGCAATTCTTAAAAGGTTTTCAAGAAATATCATCCTGAATCCTGAATTGGAAGCAGATGCAATGTTTTTCTTTTATTCTAAGGGAAGAAATAACAGCAGAACTCACCTCAGTGCAACCAACTCCCTGAGATACCCTTCTAGGAACAGTCATCCAAAAAGAACAAAATATTATACTTTTATTTTGTCATGTGTAAATGATGGCCAACCTATAATAATGCTGACATGGCGATTGGTGGCTGATAATGTGTTAACTTTATTTAAATAAACTTTCAACTATAAAAGTGCTCTCTAAATTATGTTGTTTTTCAGAATCCAACTTCAATTAACATCCATGCAAAGAAACGCCTTGCTCCTCTTCCAACTAGCAATACCCCTGAAGATGATGAGTCACCAACCAAGCAAGCTAAACTGGCCTCTCATGAGCCAAACACACAGAATCCTACTTTGAAAAAGCCAGTTAAAAACCGACTTGGTGTCAGAAATACTGAAACAAGTGTTCAAGTCTCTGGAAGCAAAAGTATTAAAGTCCAAGGTGCAGTTCAAACCAGGTGTGTATAACTAGTCCAAGGTTTAGGGTTAAGGGACATCTCAATGTTTTATTTTTCAAGGCTACAAATTTTCATTGGACAAAATTTGTACTTTTCATTTAAGCTATAAATTAAAAGTGTTCTCTATTTTTCCTTATACAATGTTAGTGCTCTTCCCAGCATTAAAGCAAGTGGGCGCTGGAGCCACTCTAGATTTTAATAACAGGATTGGACCCTCCTGAGAATCCATTTCCACCAAGTTGAAAATGAATAAAAATCTTGAAAAATAAGCACATCTTGATAAATTTTGGTCTAAATTTTGAAAATAAGAATTTTGCACCCACTTGAGAAAAAATCCTGGGGAGAAGACTTGAGTGCACTTCTAACGTTTTGTGTTATAGGCTGGGTACCAAATCTTCAGCTGTGACTTCCACTATCACTAATCCTGTTGGATCTCAAAAGAAAGGTGTAACCTCTCAAAACAAACCAGTCATTAAGAAGATAGCATTAAACACAAGAAAGGTTGTAGCAGAAGAAAGACATGTTAAAGAAGAGACGACAGACACACCACGCTTTGAATTCTCTGGCACCCAAAATGCTGATCAAGAGGTGATTGTCAGTTTTGTTTGAATGGTTTTGGTGACTTGTTGAATAACTTCCTGTCTCATATTGAACCAGAATGATTAGTCAAATTAGTCAGATTTGAAATTCCTGTAGTTATTTAATTCATCTGAATCAATGTCACAGTAACTTATAGACTTTCATCTCTAACTTGATTCAAATAACATTTGGGTTGAGTATTTTTTAAATGAAATTGAATCCTATTTATTTTTTACCAAAGAGATATTATTGTGCAACCCTGTATTGAACACTCATTTATTATCCCATCTGGCGAAGTCCGGAGGGATATAGGGAATGCCTCCATCTGTCCGTCCGTCCGGGCAATAACTCAAATACCGTTGGCCCGATTTTGTTCATATTTTGTACACATATACCCTATGGGGGTAGAAGTTTGCTCCAAAGACGATTTCCAAAATGGCCGCTCATTTAAAAATGGCGGCCATTGTAGTGTCGCTTTTACAGTAATTTAGGTACAATATGTAAAACTGTAATAGCAATATGTTTTTAATGTAAAAAATTATATAGGACATTCATAAAGCTAGAAATGTAGATATCAAAGAAGCACATGGCAGCCATCTTGAAAAATGGCGGCCTTTACTCGCTATTTCAAATTTTTTGCTGTATCTCAAAAAGTAGTGGTGCAATTTTTTTCATATTTTGTCTGTGAATACTATAAGCATGGCACACTGTCTAATAACACTTTTGGTAGAAGGTGTCTTTTTTGCCATATACATAGTTTGTAAAAATGCCAGCCATGGCTGTTCGATGGGATTTGCTAGCTTTCGTTGCTGTTATCTAGTTAGGAAAGTAAATACCACAGATTATAGCCAATAAAAGAATTATGAATCATGAGTTTTAGTACATATGAATAAAATGAATATCCACTATGAATTCAGGGAATGAGTGATTATGACAGAAAATTAGCAGAGCAGAAAAGACTGAGGGAAGAAGTAATGAGAAAGAAACAGCAAGGACGTCTATGTTCCAGATCTCAACGTCTTACCGACCTGGAGGATAGACTTCAAAAACAAGGTGAGTGTATTGTTTATTTATTTATTGAAAGGCTTTGTCCTTTAAATATCAGGAATGTCCTCAGCATTCAACAAACAAACCTCACAAACCAGATGCTCCCCCTTGTCAAAAATCTGAGAAAAATGGATCACTGAATATAGAGAGAGTGCCCTTTTAAAAGGCAAGTTGAGTTGGTTAAAGAGCCCTTGAGCTCTATAAGATTCAAGAAATTCAGTGAACTTTATTTGACCATGCCCATCTGGAATCACCCATTAATGTATGATTCTAAATTGCTGTGTGCAAGAATTTCAAGCTGTATGGTCAAAGTATTTCCAGTATACCATATGTAGACTGAACCTGGAAAATACTGTCTATAATGAGCTCTCTATAAGGACCCAACTGCCATATTTAGCTCATACTTTTGAGCTATCGTTTTCATTAAACTTGTTTGTCCATCAGTCTCTCATTGCATTTGAGGCACATTTGTAATCCTCCATGATAGTTTAAATGGTTTCACTTGTAATATCTGTATATACAAGGACTTCAGTTGTCAGCTTCAAATGACTGCCACTTTATTGTTGAAATATCACTTGTGTTATAATTCCAAAAGTATTGCATCAGTTTTCTTGAATTGTACAAGCAGCTTAGTACATGGGTTAAAGATAATATCCAAAAGTTTTTGCAAAATATTTTTGTGAAATTTAAATGAATTTGTAATAGATTGTTAGTATTATCTCTTATGTCCCTGCATTGCTGATAAAAATATGGATTTGATTCTAAACTCCTCTTAACAATCTCCCAATCATCTTTACTATTTCCATAAGAAACACTTTGACTTCCTTGCTTCATGAAATGTTATCACCATGGGCACAAAAGTTTACCTCCATTTTATTGAAATAAAGGCAAGATGAAAAAGTGCTCATTACATTTTCAATGCTGTCTAAAGGATAACTGGGCAACTCATCCCCTAGACAACTCAGCCCTGGACAAGCCATCCTCTACCATGTAAAAGTGAAGTCTAAGGTATTGCCGAAAAGGAAATATTAAACTGCATCTTAATAAATACAGGGTGGTTCAAAAAATTGGAACATTCGTAAATTGTATGCAGAATATCTATCACCTAAAATACACCAACATTTTACTGATCAAAGTTCATTCATTGTGTATAAGCCATAACGTTTATTTGAGGAATCCAAGTTTATACATTAAACTAGCCAATGTTTGATATGACCCCTTTTTCATAAATATACACTTTTCAATTTTGCAGCTTATTTTCAAATAATCAAATCTTTCTTTCGAAGCTCAACTGAACATGTTGATTGCTATACACATTTATGAAATTAAATAGTATTGAGTTTAAAAGAGGTATTTAATTATATTGTTTAGTCAAATAACTATTGTGTTAATGTTGACTTAAATAATCCCCAAAATGATATATAACAGTTAGGAAGAGGGAACATGTCAGAGGTGAGCAATTGCATAATCCACAAAGCTATTCAAGTGACAAAATCATTGTTTCCACTTTCTAATAAAGGCAACACGGACATACCAATTGTTTACAAAGCTTTCAAGATCAACTTTATGCAAGCAATTGTGCAATTAAAATATCATTGGTGTTCGGGAAAACAAACTTCTCTAAGATACCAAAACAAAAACTGTGATTATTACAACATGTTGTAACAATATAGGGGAGGGGCTTCATTTATTTACCAGTTTAAAAAGACTGCCCTCTTTCTAGAGTAGAATATTCTGTCAGTAAAACACAAAACAATAAACATCAAATTGTGCTTGATACCAATCAGTAGATAAAATATTGATCATGTTTGTTTTATGTATTGATTATCTTTCAAGGCAAAGATATTGTACTTTTGACTGAGTTGAAGTCTTTTATAAAGGTAGCTTGTAGGAAAAGTAACAAATTTCAAATGGAGTCCCGGGTTAAGACATCCAAATTTGAGACTTCAAGAGTTCAAGAATTACTTTATTCCTCTACTCTAGTTTTTATGTTATCTGCAGGGTTCAGTCTGCATATGTGGTATATCTTCAGGAATGTATTTGGGAATAAACAAAAATTCACTACCCTATTCTTTCAAATGTAGGTAAAAGTCTTGCTGATGTTGACATAGATGAACATATGTCTGATTCCATCAAACCCACACCAGCCAAGCAAGTGTTGCAAAATCCTCATGTCAAACAAAGTGCTAAATCAACCAGTGCTAACACTAAAAAAACTGAACCTCAAAAGATACAAACAAGTATCAATCGTAACAGCAGTCAAACTCTGAGACAACCTCATAACACAACTAAAGCCACATTGGGTGGGTGCAAGGAGCAGGATGATAATATTATGGCTGCTGTAAATGCTGCTTCAAACAAAAGTGCAGCTATCCCCACGGTGAAGCCATTGCTTCGAGGAAATACCCTTAAAAGGTCAAACCCTTCTACCCAAGTTCAAGTACCGGTGCGTGCTGTAAGGAAACCAATAATGGCACCTGGGGATTCCCCCACAGCTGATTCCTCCAAAGTTGCTATTAATCGCAGGACTATTGTAAAACCAGGTCCAAGTACAACTGTGAATAAGAATAAAAGTGTTAGTAGTACTAATATGAGACAGGTGGTGAGGAGGACTGATGAACCAACAAGGGTAAGTTCATCTTAATACATGTTCCATTCACATTTCATTCTTATCCATATTAAACTTGACCGGTGGGAGGGTATATTAGATGGTTTCCTTTCACATTATGTTATTGTTTGGGATAGTTGGTGTATGTTTACCTTGGTGTACTTTTAGAATTTATTTATTTCCTGCTGTGTTTTGTAACAATGTTTGGATCTTTCTCTTTGGGACTTTTATTGTTTCCAAATGTTTATGTCATTGGCATTGCCATGACAACCGAGTAAAACAAATAATGAATATCTTAGAACCTTTTTGCCATGGCAAATGTTATACTGTATATTATTTTTGAAATAACGCTGAAGACCTTATCATGGATTTATATTTATCCAGAGAGTAGTTGTGAATCCAAATGCTAAAGCAATTTCTACTGACACCATTGAAGTGGCCGATATGAACTTTGCCTTGAACAGTGACAATGTGAAAGCAGTCTATGAGCAGTTTGAGGGTGACATTACTGTAAGTTCTAATTATTTCCCATTTCTCATCATTTGTTTACTATGTAGTTGCCCCAAATACATAACATTCTAATCTAGGAAAAAATTGAAAATGTGTATTGTAAAAATATACAGGGTGATCACTAAGTTCTGGGAATTTATCTGTCATTTCATTATTTTTCAACCAATTTACTTGAAATTTTCAAGGTAAATGGGGAATGTAATTTTGGGTTGGATAAAACAGTCTCATAGTCATCTGATGTCACAATGGATAATTATTGTTACTATAGCAACATGACGAATGGCGTAGTGGGTCAAGTAAAATAAAAATGAATTCAAATTTTACTTGATCCAAAACTATGGTTTATAAATACCTATTTGGTGGACATATTTCTGTGATTTTTTATATTTTTCAAATACTTCTAACTTTAGTTTCTAAAGTATTTTCGTACCATTCACCAGCATCTCAAAGTCACAATCATGACTCTAAATAGCGGGGAGTTATCTTCCATTATGACTATGCTCCTTCCCATTACTCAAGCTCCCCATACTACTCTTGAAGAATTAGGGTTCACACAAGTTATTACTGCCCCATATTCACCAGACAATATTCACCAGATGAAGCACTATTAGGCTTCACTACATTTTGGGTGCTAAAGCATTATATGAGAGGTTTGATTCCGATAAGGGACTGATTTCAACGGCTTGAGCAAATCTTCAAGGGATACCAAAGGAAGGACTGAAACACATCTTTATGGACTAAGTTTGTCAACAAAGCATGTGCGTCCAGGCTAATGGAAACAATCATAAATGAAATGATCCTCTCAGCAATGAAGAATACTTCTGAATAAATGACTTAGAGTACTGTTCTGCCTCCACTACAAGTAGTTTGAAGCAACCATCTAGGCAAGATGAATATGTTTTGGCAGGAAATTTTCAAATTAACATCAGTCAAAATTTGCTGACCCGCGATTCACTTTTACTTTTTTTGTATTTACAATAAAATAAATTGTAGATGTGATATGTATATGAAACATTGCTTGTCAATTTAGAATTATACAATGTACACTTGCTGAAAATTTCAACTCAAATGGTTGAAAAATCTTGAAATGGCAGACCAATTCCCGGAACTTAATGATCACCCTGTATCATCATTTCAAGAACTCAAAGGCTCATCTGTTTAGAAACTTGCATCTTAGTAATATCAATTTTATACTTTTTCCAATGTATTTTTTTACAGGAGGTGGAAGTTAATGTTGGTGACAATAAGCTACTACTCATCTTCAGAAATAAAGATGATGTTATAAAGAATGTCAGACGACATAAAGGGTAATTTTTATCCATGATTATTTTATATATCATGATTTTAATATCATTTTGTCAATTTGGATATACCAACACTCAATCCTATTTATACTGAACAAACTCATCAATTAAAATGGTATCACTCAAAATTTTCTAATATTCTATTATATTGTTATCTTACATCAAAATTACCATTGTATTGTGTTTCACTTACGACCGTTGAAGGTGATTAATATCTCTTTGGTATTTCCCATATATGCACAGTTGTAATATATATAATTAATGCTGGAAGACAGACCCAGAAACCTGTCCTTGAACGAGCCCTGTGTTCTTTTATATGCATTCATACATAGTCATACAAGTACACTTCATATCATAAACAAAGATTTTCAATCATTTGCACTTTTATTTATTGTAGACTTGAGGTGATGGGTTCTGTGTTAAGTGTTCGTCCAGTGCCTTCCAAACCCAAAAAGAGTAAGTAACCTCTATCATAGCAACTAGCCCCATACATGAAAGCTAGATATTCACAATTTATGGAGGGATTGTGAAGTCGTTAAGTCCTGTAGATGTAAATCCTGTCCAAAGTTTGAGATGAACATAGTTGATGTTAGATAAGAGAACCAATTGAAGGATGTCTAGCCCATTTAGCGACCTTCAAGATCGTGAGAGCAAACTATTAAAGTTAAAGTATGCTTTATTTTTTGCTTTGATGTTGGATTGCCCACCAGCGCCACTCTATTGCAGAATGTTGCATACATGAGATAATTCGAAGTATGTGAGCTAGTAAATTCTGTATCTGTGGTGTGATGTCTGCTAAACCATATTGTGGGATGACATTTTGCCTGCAGTCAACCTAGATTATCAGAAACCAAAACTAAATAGGTGATGGTATAAATTCTAGTAGATCTCAAAAACAATGCTGTGCCGTGAAAGATGTGTTTTAGAAAATACATCTGTCCTCCGACCGAACCAGAGCAGCCTCCATGTTATTGACAGCATAAACAAGCTCAAGATGTTAGGAACCCAACTTCATTTTTCAAAAGGATCATGAAACCTTATGATGCAACATGGTATTCTTGACTTGAATTATACTTTTCATTCGTGCACATCCTTTGAATACCAACACAAACCTCTGTTGCTGTTTGAAGCTGCTTTACACAATTGTCCTTTTTGAAGATGTGTATATAGATGGGTGGGGAAACTAAAGGAGCTTTATGAAGACTGACAATTGCTGCCTGCTAGAAGGTCTGTTTGAAAAGGTCACATAGAAACAAGACCAGCATATATGTAATCCTGTACATAGTCAAGTGTAATTATCACCAAGGAAACATTTTAAGTATTAAGTTCGAATAAGGATTATTAACTTGTGAACGCTGGTGACTTACTAAAGAGAACTAACAGCTTGGAGCTGAATATGACGTATGAACCTGGTATAGTACATAACTGAAAAGCAGATAATTTTCTTCGCAAAATCATGATCAAACTTGTACAAAGCAACATGAACAGGCTGCAATTTTATATGAAGGATCAACATTTGCCCTTACGGTATCTAGATCAATTTGCAACATGGTCTGCAGGATGTTATCACAATATCTCAACATCATGACAATGTAAATATTTAGTCACACATATTTCAATGCATTTTAAATGCAGTTACACATAATTTTCATTAATTAATGAAAAGACATTCATTTCAAGCATATACCCTTTCTAAAGAGGTATTATATTTGGATAGTGTATTGTAGACAAAGCATGATGCTCATCATGGTTGAAAAAGGGAAAATTATGAATGACAAAACATTTTGTTCCATTGTTAGTTAAAACAAATGATTAAGGAACTTGTTTAAATTGTTCAATTAAGTGACACTTTGATATATAGAATGATGTATTCTTTTTAAAAGGCATTTTCTTTTGACCTTAAAATTGCATACTCACTTTAAATTCTTTTGGAAGATTTTTATCAATGTCGTATTGAGAATACAAGTCCTGAATAATTGGTAATATTGCCAAGGCAAACCATTTTTAACACGGGAAAGCAAATTTAGCTGAAATATTTTATTAGCTGTAACAATAAGGTTAACCAGTGTAAAATTACTTCTTATACAGTACTATGTCAATTTGCAAATTGTATAAGTCAGAAGAAAGGCCTTTGGTATATTATTTCATGTAAGAATTACTAAATCATTATTATTGATGGAAATATATATAGGTGTAAAATTAATGTAGTGTTTCATTTTATATAATAAGTTAAGTAAGATGGAATTGTGAGAAGCAATTTAATTACAAATACCTGAGTGTAATATATCATTCTGGTGTTCAATATATATGAGAAATTCATTGATTAACATTACACTGAATGTCATTTTGACTTCAATGATTTATTAAAAAATGAAAGAGAACAAAGGACAAACTTGAAAAATGCTTGAGGCTGGTGGCTTGTATCAGTTAACTCCGTTCCTCTGCTCAGTCATACATGTTAGCCGAGGCACACTTTACAAGCAAGCTGTTGGAAAATGTTGCATTTAAATTTGTGTATAAAAGACAAAAGACTGCTTCAAAATTAGCAGTGAGAATCTGTTAAGGTTCCTTAGGTATGTATGTGTGTATGGTGAGTTGTATGTGTGTATAATGAAGTGTTGATATCACAAATATGTCCAAAATTGTGAAGGGGGATTGAGATCATACATTTAACTTTGTGGTATTTACTATTATGCCATCATTTATATGGCAATATCTCTACACTATTTGGTGTCATAAACATAAGTTATATTTTGAATAGCAAGAACTACATGCCAAGAATGAATAAACGCAAAGAGCACACACTCGGAGCACCCATGCGCCTAGTTTGAATGTGCTGGCGCTCAAGGCCTCTTGGCCAACTCGACAACCTTCAAAAACATTGTTTTGCTAGTCGATCTTACTAGAGGTAGTGGATGTTAATGCTCGAACAAACCAGAGAAAGCACAGACATTTTCTACAGTCACACACATTGCTCAAGAATATGTTTGTATATCCCCAGGGTCATCCTGTTATCTCTTTTTCATTGTGTAATTATGAACACATGTGATTTATGTTTTGGGTTATTAGCTAATGTTATTCTCACATTAAATATCCCTTAAACAAAAAATTATCCCTTGTGTTCTGGTCCCGGATTGTGATAATGGTACTTAAATGTTGGGAGATGGTGTATTAGACATTGTTGCTGTTCATGTTAGATCATGGTTTGGGAATAGTTAGTGTTTCCTTTTGCTCATCCTCCGATCACAGGGCTTCAAAATCTAGAATATATTCCTCTTTTTACCCCCTGCGATAAGCAGTTAGCCTTTCCCCGATTAAGAACTCGCAATTTGATTGGCTGTTGCAACACTGCGACAGAAATCATGTATAAGTCATTGCGCATAATAAGATCACGTGAGTCAGTTTAATCGGGCACTTCCAAATGGGTTATAGCAGGGGAAAGAAGGAGGTACGGATTCTGGATACCTGCTTAGGAGGATGTCTTTTGCTGTGCCTGTAATTTTTGGTCCTTTCCCTATGGTTCTTACACATACATATATTTATTTAATGATATGTAACTTACATAGTCAATAGACTTGGAAATAAACCTCATAATAAGAAAAAATGTTTCAAGTAATTAGCATGCCTTAGCTGCTTTTCAGGTGAGAGATTTCTATCAAGCTTTTATATTTTCAGGAAAAGGGTTAATGTCCAAGTCTAATGATTGTGTGAGTAACATGTTAGAATTATTTGGGGTGAGTATTTCAGCCATTAGCCCTCAAAGGTAGCATTGTTTTTGTTTCATGTTCGTTTCAAAGCTTGAGAATATAATGTACACCGATTCTAGGTTGAAGGTTAAAATATAGGTTTACAAACTTAACAAAACAGATTATTAGATTAAGAGCAATAAGTTGAGAAAGTGAATAACACACTTCCAATGCAGAAAATCTTACGTACATTTTCCTTCTTGTGAACTGTATCAGAATAATGAAAAGTTTCAAGCAATCAAGAGATCATCAATCTCAGTTTGACTTATTTGTTGATATTTTTCTTCACCTTCTGTTTCTTGCAAAACATTTTTTACCACATAGCACTGTCTTCCTTATCAGTTGCAGTTGGTTGAGGTGCTATTCAGTTTATGTTACAAACTTGACATCACATATACTTGCTTGTACTTAGTTTTTACTGTACTGAAAAGTAAATTGGTTTCTACTAGTTCTGAAAATATTTTGAACTAGTGAATATGAAATATGGATCTAAATCAGTTTTTTCCTAATGACCATTGTGAAATATTGTGTTTTATGGATTATGGCATTGACTTTGAGAATGGATACGCTTATGGACATTGAAATAAGATTTTTTCTGTCCCACATTATTTGATGTGATTACTAGTATCTACAATGTACATTTTATAATGAGTTTACCTAATAAACATTACAGATATCCCAACTCTCATTATCCAGCATATATTTCAGTTACGTTTAACTTTAGCTTTTTTGTCTTTCTGGTGCCTTCACACGTACACTGATTGGTTTTATTTTGCCTTGAATTTACTCGAGAAAACAAAATAGATTTTGCATGTTGTGTTGTTAGTTGTTGCTGTTTGTTGTGAAGGGGTGGTAAGAAATGATAATAGGGTGGCACACCAAACAGCATTATCTATTGTGTGACTGATAAGAAAGTAAAAGATCATGTTTTTATCATACCTAAAAAGGTAGGATATTGTCATCAGCTTGACGGGTGGGTGGGGGGTATCTCACTTTATTGTCATCAAGATTCCAGGAAAGCCACTTAACGGATTTATTTCAATTTTCTAGAGCTGACTAACTTTTCGGTAGCCATCTTTGATTCTGGTGGCCATCTCTGAAGTTTTTATATAAATCTTGTCATCGTGATTCCACACTGCTATGCTTTAGGTACGATATTGTTCACCCTGTGCCTTGTTTTTTATTTTTTTATAGTGTTGAATGGAAGAACTGTTTCAATCATGGTCCAGGCTCAATTCGTGTGATATCTGATTCACATTATATTAATCAATTCAACTCTACACCATATTACAAAACAATATGCAATTTTCATTCTCTTTTCTTTTGTTGTTGAGGTAATCATATTTGGGTTTTGCATATTCAAGTCTGGAGGATGATTATTTGTTAAATAACTGGATGTTTGAGTGTGAGCTGTTGCTGTTTGGTGTATAGGGGTGGTAAGAAATGATAATAGGGTGGCACACCAAACAGCAATATCTATTGTGTGGCTTAATTCTTGTGATGTATGATTTACATTATATTAATAGATTCAGCTCATAAGGATGTAAGATGCAGTTTTCTTTATTCTCTTTTGTTGTGGTATTCATATTTGGGCTTGCTCATATTCAAGTCAGAAAGATATGTATGTATGTTGAATAACTGGAAGTTTTGGTGTGAGTTGTTGCTGCTTGATGTGAAGGGGTGGTAATAAATGATAATAGGGTGGTACACCAAACAGCAATATCTATTGTGACTGGTGAGAAAGTAAAGGAGATAGATCATGGTTTTATAGTGTTGAATGGAAGAACTGTTGCAATCGTGGTCTAGGCCAAATTCTTGTGATGTATGATTCACACTATATTCATCAATTCAGCTCTTATCCATATAAGAAAATAAGACTAAGTTTCAACTCAGAAGCATGTGTATGTATGTTGAATAACTGGATGTTGTTGTGTGGATTGTTACTGTTTGGTGTAACAGTGTCAAGATATAGGGACAGAAAATATTCTAGCATAGTAAGAGCATTCAGTATACAGTTAGCAAGTGTAACACAGGCCTTGAGTTTATTGATTTTCTCCCTATATCATGACATGTATAGTTTGGTGTGAAGGGGTGGCAACAAATAATAATATGGTGGCACACCAAATAGCAATACCCATTGTTCGACTGAGAGAAGCTTTTTTAGATGGATTGCTTGTATACTATGCAGTTTTGAATCCAAAAAATGAGCATACTATTTGTCATTACAAAGTACATACATGTCTGAAGATGTAACTTTTTCAATTGGTGTCTAAAATGCTGGAATTGTTCCTTAGTAACTTGGATAGATGTATCAGTATGTGAGGTCATGTTGCATATTTTGAATAACCTGTTCCTCTGGACATTTTATCATTCATTTGGATGTAGTAGATTCCTCATAGCCAGATGTACCATTGACATCCCCTTCCTTACTTTGATTCCTTATGAAACGAGAGATCTAGGTTACACAAGAAATATGCATTCTCTTGAATGAAATGATTAGTTTTCATATTAATATTGATTAGGTAACACTGTTTGGACATATTTGTGGGGGAAATGTGTGTGTATGATTGTATATCGCGTAGTGAGCTATTGCTGTTTGGCGTGAAGGGGTGGTGTGAAATGATAATAGGGTGGTACGCCAAATAGCAATACCTACTGCATGATTGTAAAAATTATATATTTTATATATATCAAGTATCACTTTTCTTCATGTACTAATTAGGTGTAACATATTGTGTATGTATGTTTCAAGTGTGACATATAAGTACATGTTCTTTTTCAGATGTAACATATTGTGCTTATACTTCACTAGATATTGTGCATGTACATTATCAAATGTAATACATATGAAATATGTACTGTATCAGATTAACATATATTGTACATGTACTTTACTAGAACAAGCATTATGTGCATGTACTTCATCAAGTGTCATACATATAAATTATGTACTGTATCAGATTAACACATAGGGTACATGTACTATATCAGGTTAACAAATGTATTGTGCATGTTATCAAGTGTAACATATTTTATGCATGTTCTATACACAATATTTGTTCCAAGATAATGTGCATGGAAAAACATGTGGTGTACATTGGAAACTAAGGAACAAAGTCAAAGGATCAATGTTTATTAATACATGTATTAAAGAGGTTGATTGTTTTGATGAGGGTTAAATATTTTTTAAGTATAGAGGGAAGGAATAGAAATTTGATAGTAATTATATTCCATTACATTTTCTGAGAGGGGTGAATCTGAAATGTAATGGATTGCAATTTTGTATAACATTGAAATATTGACTTTGTTCCTTATCAATATTTTTCCAGATAGAATCTAAAGTGAATATATTGGTTGCCCCAAGAGGTGCTAAAAACCAAATCCGAATCTTGCCTAAAGCATTTAAAGCATTCAAGATATGAAATACAACAGATCTATGAGTTGAAATG